GCTCTGATTGATATCAGCAAGTGTATGGCTTGGTGAAAATAAAATAAAGATTTCAATAACTCTAAATTAGATGGAAGTTTCGGAGTGGACTTGAAATCCAACAGTTATTCACTTATTTGGTATGTTCTGGGTGATGTAGAATCACATAACCGCGGGTTAACCATCAACTTCGCCGGATGGGAGAGAGGTGATGTCAACCAAGGGAGAAGTTATAGGGAGTAATTTATTAGTTCTTTGTATCCCATATTTCAAGCATGAGTAGTTAAAAGGATTTAAATTTTAAGCCATGGAGGCAATACTCACTCTCTAGATCCATGTATTTCGTTATTCACATAGGAAACTCATTTGTACTGGGCTTGGGCCCCAATCCATCAAGGGTGGATTAGGTATAACTTAACACTAAAAAGAGTTTAAGTACAAAGTGAAGTTAGTAACAAGAATATATTGAAGTCCGTAAGTGGGACGAATCAGGGTTGCCAACTTGTAAAATTGAAACCCAAAATGACAGCATTTTGTTTCACTGTAGAGTTTTCTTGCAGATAATCGTCTTTGCCATAAGGACAGGGGTCTGGGGCATTGCTGAATTACATAGAGAAACAGAAGATGATATATGCACGTTTATACTTTTTTATATTATCACAAATCTTAAGATTAAAGCTTAGTACTTCATATCAAATTACCCCAAAAAAAAAGGAAGAGGGAGAGTCTTCCAACTCTGCAGAATGATGCTCCTCATCCTGTTAACCTTTGATTTCAAAGCAAGTAACAACTGATGTCCGTCAATTTTTGCACAACAAAACTGGAAGAAACTAACGATCTACATCACAATAAAAGTGACCAATGATGCTCACACACACACACACACAGACATATATATATATGTATAGATCAGCATCAGCTTGATGATCGGAAAGATTTTACTTAAATAAGAGCAGAATAAATTGTATTGTACTCCGAGCGTTGCGTCATTCCGGTGGTCTGCTCCAGTTCTCTCACTAGCTACGTCGTCCTTAACAATAGCCTTTTTCTTTTCTTTTTTCATTTTTCTTGTTAATTAGTTTTTTGAAAAACAGTTGCCCCTAATTTGAGCCTGTCCCTGGGTTCGCCCGTGTACTTGATCACGTTAATACTAGGCGCATGCATGAGCTATGATACTTGTGTATTTCAGATTCAGTGCCCATTAATTTAGGGTTCACCAAAACTCTACATTAGTTACCATTTACAACTTACAAGTGTTATTGACCTCAGTTTGAAGGCGTAGCAAAGTAGCTTGTCTTAAACATTCTCCAAAATGCCGTCTTTCCAATTTCTTGTTCATGTGCAGGACGGATTTAGACTTGGTACCCAGTCTTAGAGCCATGTACCTGATGCATAAATATCCTATTTGAATTGCCTGCGCTTAATTTGGATGCTTTTTTTTCATTTTGTATTTGTTGATTTTCTTTTGACAGCATATCTTTCAATTTGAAATCATTTACTATTGTTCTCTATTATGCGTTCATTAAGATAATAATATTGAAATTTAATTAAAAATTATTACATATGTACCGTTCAAATTGACTCTGAACATCTACAATAAGATGTTTACATGGTACACATTTAGAGATGTTTCACAAGATCCTGATTCGGGCAGTGCACAACAGAAAACTATGTTCCCAAAAAAAAAAAAAAAAACTACTTTACCACTTCAGAGTCGTGCCTCACTTCCTTCCATATTCGGTAAATGCTTTATGCTTCGGCTTGATCAGATGGTATCTGTCACAGTTACAATCAGCAATTCCCTGTGGGTACTTAGGACAACTGGGGATAGTGTCCTCCTATAACCACCATACCCAATGGAGCCAAGCTGTTTGGACTTGGGATTTACAGTGAAAGTTCTTTCCCATCACATGAACTTACATTAGAATATGAAACTCACCATCTTATCAGCACAACGGGACTAAAACCCATTATTCTCTTCAGTTAAAAGAACAATGGGCAGTTCAAAACTGACCGGTCAAAGAAGGAACAAGCGGTTAAAGCTAAGGCCTACTATTCATTTTTTGTACTCTACTATCTTGTTCCGTGCGATCTGGAGATGCCTGTTCTTGAAACGCTCCTGATCCTTCAAAATTGGGAGCCAAACCAAATGAATGAAACGTCATTCTCTCTGTCGCATTTGCCCAAAGGCCCCAAATATTGCCAGATAAAGACAAATGAATCTTTTCTGACTATGAATTCTGAGCTTGTATTGAATTACAAGAAGAGTTAATGCTATTTGTGATGTGAGGTAAGCCAACATTTTGTAATGTCATGTTTGCCGCATTAAAATGATTACCTTCCTCATGCATATTCTCATCCATAGGTTCTTCTACCAAGTTTAACCTATAAAAGTCTAGCTCTGCTTCCAAATCTTGTATCATTTTTTCCTTTTCTGACAGCAGATCATCAGCTTTCTCCAATGCAACTGCATCATGTTCTGCTTGCTCTTCCATCATTCTCAAATATTGGAGGGCCTCCATTCGGAGTGCTGCTTTATCCTCTTGTAACTTTGTAATCATAGCCATTGCTTCATTTGCTGCAATAGCAGAAGCATTTCTTTCTTCCTCCAGTTCCTTGTGTAAGGAATTGATAAATTGCTTGTCATACGTAAGCTGTCTCTTCAATTGATCAACAAGAGAGTCCTCCTCAATTCTACTGACAATGCTTCCAGACATAGATCCAAGACCAGAATCCAATGAGACTGACTTTTGAAGTACCTTAGTTCCATTGGAGCTAGCAGCATCAGCTTTTTTCTTTGGGGGATAAGCATCATCTAATGGAATAACTAGTGAGGTACTAGAATCTTGAGAAGATTTGTGTGATGATAGCTTCAATTCTTCCCTGTCCTTGTGCCTAAGACTTGTATGAGAAGAGTCACTTACAACCAGATCAGTTTTTTCGAACAGTTCAGCATTTATAGCAATCTTCATAAAACTGCCCCCATGATCTCTGATTGATTGAAGTCCATTATCACTTGCTTGAGACACATCTACAGCTGGAAACATTTCAGAAAGTACATGTTAACTTTTCTATAAATATTGGATAAAAAAATATGCAGACAAGGAGAAGGAGGCTACATTCCTCTGGTGACACCCCAACAATCGATTGAGTACCACCCAAAGCAATAGCTTCAGGTTGTGCAGCACAGAGGAAATTAGGAGAAACACAACAATTACCTTTATTCTTTCCTGGTTCCGCTGTGCTTGAGTCACTTGGAAGAAATTTTGATGATGCTATTGGTGTACATTGGCACTTAGGATCACTCCCAGCTTCATTGTTTTCATGAATTACAGTAGAAACATTGTTATCATCAGCAGAAAATGGAAACTCTGACTCAGGATGGAGTTTCAACTCAGCGAAGCCAGAATAACATAATGAATCACGACTGTTTTTCCCTACAAAGTGAGACGTTATCGATCCACAACAGGTACATGGCCTTGAATCCGAAGAACCAGAGAACAAGTCATCCTTCAACGAGCACTGGAAACTACAGTCACCATGAAACAGACCCAGTTTACCCACCAACAATCTATGAGCTTTTGAATTGGCTTTAGTCTTTGCTGTGAATGACAAGAGACAATCATCACACATGCCAACTCCATCCGCAACCTTATTGTGAATATGGCATGGCAGCAGAGAGGTAATTTCTGATATATGATTGTTGCAGAGTAGTGTCTGATATAACTCAGACTTTTGACCACCTAATGCAAAATCAAGCCTAGAGCACAATATACAAGGCGCTTGCAATCGACAGAAACTTGCAAACTTTGTTAGTAGATACGACAGCAGGGCATCGAAAAGCAATAGTATTATCAAAAACCACTCACAGACTGCAGATACGAGAAGAGCAGTAAATCCCCACACCCCCTGTGTCTTAACAAAGGAAATTTTACCTGCTGCCATCTCTACCTCTAATGCTCTATTAATCCATATAACTCAAGACAGGGCAATATGCTACACCCTGAGTCGATTATGTGAAATTTCAATGAGCCAGGGATAAAAGGTGAGAAACAATACATGAACCAACGCAATGAAATTATAATCCGAGTTGTTACATATAATAATAGGCCATTCTTGAAAAACAAAGATAAAGACTAAGCTCAGACGGCCCAAGAACAACACCAAACAAACAGTGTCCAGTATATCAAACGAAGTTTCATCAAAATTGAAGTAAAAAAGAGAATTCGTTGAAAGAAGACAGGAGCTACGGTCAGTTTTTGCATGTTCACATTTAACGACTATGAAGTTCAAGAGAATCCATACGTGTTAGCTGTGGACTGAAATCAGGAAAATTCCTTGAAGAACCAGGGCAATTGACAAAGAAACAACCAAAGCTGTTCGATAAATTGATCAAGAAAAACTATGACCCTTTTTCATTCCAAATACCAGTGTAACTGTGAATGCGACCAAAACCAAAAAATAAATTCAAACCAACCCAACTGTGCCATAAAGTGCCTTATTATACTAACAAGTAACAATAAATTTAATAGCCCCACGCGCAAAAATTAAATGGAAAAGTAAATTAGAACATCATAGGCCTAACTTATCAATACAAAACCAAAGTCGGAATAAATTCGAGACGCCCGTCCTCTGGCAAAGATATAAGAAACATAAAGGGAAGAGATTTTTTTTTTTCCCCCCCTTGATTTCCGAAGATCATGATTAGAAGAAAGACCGGCAGACAATAAAAATTTTATGCTATGGCCTAACAAAATTAGAAACAACGTTCGTTAACGAAGGTAACAATGGTGAAAATCCAACGTAATGTGCATTCTGATCACAATGCAAGTCCATCCAAATTGTTCGAAAATCAAATGTAAAAATCCATTGAAAAACACATCAATTATGTCCATATTTGATTTTGGTTAATGGAGAAACGAAGAAAATGCGATACCTGCTCTGGAGCTTGAGGATGAGAAAGAGGAAGGGGATGAGGAAGAGAGGTAAAGTGGCAATTTGAGATCAAACAGCACGGTAATGAATTTCTCCTGTTGTTTTCCTTTTATCTAATTTACGATCAGATTGGATAAAATTTTGTCAAAAAGGGTGCAAAACTCATCGGGAACGGACGTATTTAAATTACTAACCCGTGCTTAATTTAATATAATAGTTAGTTTGAATTTCAATTTAGTCCTAAATATAAGATTCTAATCCACTATATCCTTAACATTTATCTATTTTTTCTCAAATAATTTCTATAGAAGTTATACATGTTAAGAAATTACTTTTTAAATTAAACACACATGATTAATAAGAACATTTAAAAAAAATAATAGTATAATACTCCTCCGGTCCTAATTATAAGACCCAATTGACTTATTTGAGGAAATTAAGGAAGTAAGTTAAGTTGGTTATTTATAATAAATAAGTGTTGTTATTCCTAAAATATCTTTGCTAATTAAGTATATTGGCTAAAACTATCATTATTAAAAGGATTATCTTGGAAAAAAAATGCATAAATATAAGAGACAAAATGGATTGGATCTTATAATTAGGACCAAATAAAAAGTCAAATTGGGTCTTATAATAAAGACCGGAGGAGTATCTATTTACTACAAATAACTAATTCAACTAACTTTCTTAATCTTTCTAAATTGATTAATTAGACCTTATACTATCTTCAGTCCTAATTATAAGATCTAGTTTATAGTTTATACTCCTCCGATTTTAAATACAAGACCCTTATACTAGGAGTATTATAAATGAGAGTACTATTAAACACCTGAAGTAGTATAACATAGAATAAGGCGCGGAATTACTAGCGGCGCCTTCTCTATGATCAACTGACCGTTGAAGTTGAAACCGCCTGGCCCTCGTTCATTTGGTGCCAGCAAGAAAATTGGGCTCCGGAGGATTAAAATTGGGCCAGCCCACTGGTGCTACCATATTTCAATAATAATTTTTAAGAGTGATTTTCTAATAAATAATTATTTTAAAAAATAATTGAACTGATTTTTTTCCAATGAAATATTTTTTTAATGTAATAAATTTTTAAAAATTATTCCTTACTAATATATTATATCATATAAAATCAAAAGAATGAGCCCACTTAGAGGGCTTGGCCCATCCTTTTTTCCTTTAAAGAAATGGGCTTTCATTGATCCATTCTATTTGCAAATTGGGCTTCATTCATCAGAGCACCCTAAAAGGAAAGATTGGACGAAACTTTTTCGGTCAAATAAGCGCGTGCCTCTTCCCACCGTTGTTCTCCCTCCCTCACTCCACTTCTTCACATCGCACGGGAGACTTCTTGCCATTCCTTCTCCTTTATATACCAGAGAATCTAACGCCACACTTCGCTCGACCTGCTCTCATTGTCTTCTTGGCAGGGATATATGAGGGAGGTGATCAGTTCCTTCAGGGTACGTCTGTCTGTTCGTTGCGGGCTTTGGTTTTGACGGCTGTGTTTCCCCGTGTATAAAATTGAATTCTCAATTTGTGCGCAGAGGCTTGGAAGTGTTCGGAGCTACGCGAAGCATCTGCGTATTGATGGAGTTAGAGATACGATTGCTGTCGCCTCTGGTAAAGGTGGGGTGGGCAAGACTACTACTTCAGGTATTTTGCTTCCTCAACTTCTGTCCCAGCACTCTTATGTTTGTCTTCTGATGTATATACATGGAACAGTTTGTTTGTGAACGGTCTGGTTCGTTTCCTGGGATGGTGCGTGCAAAAATTATAAGTTTATTTCTGTTCTATAAGCATTCTTATTTTTGAACTTTGAAAATGCTAATAATTTTTTGTGAGGGCCAATTTCTCCTTTCTATGCATTGTTTAGTGTAGTAATTTGCTGTTTTAATGGGCAGTGAATTTAGCTGTTGCGCTCGCAAGTAAGTGCAATCTCAAGGTTGGTTTGCTCGATGCCGACGTATATGGTCCAAATGTTCCCCCCATGATGAACATTCATGAAAAACCAGAAGTGACCCCAGGTATTTGCTATTTCTTTCTTACCATCAATCTTCCTTGGGGCGCAGTAATAATTTAACACGAAAGGGGAGCTGAGCAAACACACTACGTGGCAATGATTGAATAACTAGTATACATGCAATAACGCATAACGGAAATAGATAAAGTTATTATCCCCCCAAACCCCCCCCCCCAAAAAAAAAAAAGTATCACTTCCCCAAGAAGTGTATACAAGTTGAAGCAAAAAGCATCGCGAACACTCTAACAGATACTCAATTAACGTCCAGGCATTGAACTTCTTAATGCTGGGGATAGTCGCTTGAGAATTGAGATCATTAACTTAAATTGCTTTCTATGACTGATAGAGACAACTAGAGTGATAATAATGTTTGAACTTCTCTCGTTTCCTTCCCATTTTGGATTTCAAGAATGTATTCTGTGGATGGCAATATTATATTGCCAAGTGCCAACTCGTTGCACATATTTAAATTGTGTTATAAGTTTACTTCAGTGTTTATTCGGCTATTTGCTTCTTTTCAGAAAAGAAAATGATTCCAGTTGAAAACTATGGGATAAAGTGTATGTCAATGGGTTTCCTTGTGGAGAAAGATGCGCCAATTGTATGGAGAGGTCCCATGGTGTGCCTCTACCTTCTTGTCTATTCTTCTTCTCTGTCCCTTTACTGTAGTTCAGCCTTAATTTTATGCTGTGATACGTTGTTCTCCTTCCTAGTAGATTTTTGTTTCTGTCATGCATTTATATTTTTGTTCCTGACTTAATTGAAACCAAAAGTAATGAAAACATTTAGAAGGGCTGAGATAAATTAAGTCTGCCACTAGAGTGAACCTTAGATCTTATATGCATGTTGAAATTTTTATTTTTAAGACTGACACAACAGTGTTTCCCATTTTATGCTTTAGCAGAAACTATTTTCTTTATATTATCTGGTAGACATGATAGATCTGAAGTTCCTGCTAAATGTATATGAGTGTAACGTTAATTAAAAGCAGCCAGTTACTTGTTAAAAGCATAGAATATGAAATATCCGCTCATTCTAATACCCAAAAAAAAAAAATCATTATTACAATCTTTGACTATTTCGGTTTTTTTTAAGTGTGAAATCATGCAGCTTTACTATATAGTTTAAATCTCTTTTAATTGAGATGTTAGCCGTTTGATTCTCCAGTCCAGTGTTTAGTGGAAAAGTTCAACATATGCTAAGTTGATAATTTGCTTATGAACGAGGGAGAAAATAGGGGGAGTGGGAGGTGACCCAATAATTTTGTACTTAAATCAGCAAACAGATGGTAATGATGAAGTTACTGATGTAATTTGTCTTTCTCCATGCATATTTTGGTATATGCACTTAAGTCAGGAGTTGTTGCATATGCTTAATGTCTCATGAATGAGATTGCGAACATTAGTGCTTCTATTGTCGTTGTTTGAGATCTGATTCACTTTAAAGATATTCTGTCTATAGTAGTTCTCTCATGATTGAGGGGTTAGTTATTTCAATCTGTTTTTGGTTCTGGCAAATTCCTACTGTATATGTTCGATCTTAATGTTATCATACGGCCTTTCACTGTTTTAGCTTTTGTTACTGGGTTGTAATAGGTAGCAAGTGCGCTTAAAAAAATGACACGTGGAGTTGACTGGGGAAGCCTTGATATTCTTGTGGTGGATATGCCTCCTGGAACCGGTGATACCCAGATAACAATCTCACAGAATCTACAATTATCTGGTAGTTTAAGAATTTATGGAGACAGTTCTCAAGGCTTTTGTTATGGGGGATTGTTTTTTTTTTTTTGGTGTGTGCGTGTGTGTGTTTTTTTTTTTTTTGGGGGGGGGGGGGTTGTTATTTGACCTTTTACTTCATAATCTCTATGTGGTTCTTGTCCATCTGATGTTTGAAATATATCATATGTGGACATTCCCTTCCCTTCAAATAGACTAAGGAATTTGGGAAAAAAAAAACACATTCCAATTTTCAGTTTTGGCAATTAACCCCTTCAACTTTGTGGTTTGCAAAATGTTTCAATAGCCAATTATACGATATTATTTTTTTTTTTGTTTTTCTTATTATATTCATCTTAACTACTTCTCTTGCTAAAAATGGCTCTTGTACCCTTTTGTTAAAAAATATAAGTAGATACTGATAGTAATAGACATTTTACTTACTTTTTCATTTCCTTCTTTTCTATCAATAAATGGGACCTTAGTGAAAAAGTTCAAACCTAAAAACGCATTGAGACATTTATCAAAATTGAAGAGAACTTGTGGGTATTGGGTAATGCTGAAGGTTAAATGGCTTGTTTACCAAAGCCCCAACAGTGAAACTGAAAGGGCTTTTTACAATTACCATGACTTGCTGTTTCCAAGTTTAGTCATATAAAGTTTTTAACGTGTAAGCATGCACAAACAAACAAAAATCTCGTTATTTTGAGATGTTTCTTTTTAGTGGCTCATATACTCCATTCTTGTATAGTTTACATTAGAAGGGAAAAAATCTTTGGTTGTTAATTGCATAGCTGCTTCTATTGCAGGTGCAGTGATTGTTTCAACTCCTCAAGATGTTGCATTAATGGATGCTAGGAGAGGAGTGAATATGTTTAATAAAGTTCATGTTCCTGTATGGTCATCTTTGGCGTACTTATTCTTAAAATGTACTTACATTGATATAGTCGTATTGACGAGTTTGAGCCAGAATATATGGGCACTGAATATGCATGAATTGGGTGGTGGACAGTGCAAGGATGTACAGAAAAAATAAAAAAATCTATGGGCTCAGTCAACTTGATATTGCATTTTTCTGTACATCCATCCACTGTACACCACCCTTTTGAGTACCCATCAATGTGCTAACATGATAAGCTTTCATTTAAATTTCTTTTTGTCCCTTTGGGGACATGTGATAAAATCGTATAGACTTCTAATCAGAAGTTATAGTTGCAGTAAAACTTTTGCAACAAAGACAAGAAACATATACCCTGTTGACGGATATATATGCAATGTGTTTTCATTAATGTAATTTATTTTAAAGCATTTATTTTTTCCTCCATGTAAAATGTTGAGGGTGAAATTTTGTGTTTCTATCTTTGTCAAGCCGTCCCTTCCATTCTTGACTTCAAATATTAGCCGGAAATGGATTTTGGTGTTGAGTATCCTTCTTAATGGATCTTCTTTTGTAATCACAGATTCTGGGAATTGTTGAGAACATGAGCTGCTTTAAGTGTCCGCATTGTGGTGAACCTTCATACATATTTGGGAAAGGAGGGGCTCGTATGACAGCAGCTGACATGGGATTAGAATTATTGGGTGAGGTCAGTATAGTATTCATGTGTTTAATGATCCTTGTTTATCATGTTGATGTTAAACGCTCAACTTCTCAGATTTTACTTTTTGGATTCAAATTCATGGTTTGGTTGATGGTTGTACGAGGTATCATTGTAGCGAGTATCTGGACACGGGCCGGCTACTTTGTAATACAGTTTTCCTTTTTAAAAAAGAAAAAGAATTATCTGAGGGTCATTTCCTGCTTCTTTTTTTTTTTTTTTTTTTGCCTCTCCTGGTTATAGAAGCTGCAAATAACCATTTCTAATCTCCGAATCTTTCGACAGTTCAAAAACAATTTAAGAAGTGAATTGCCAACTTCCATGTGTGGACCAACTGACAGACGTACTTCTACGTTGGGACATGGAATTATAATATTTTAGGTTAATATAATCTTTTGTCTTTCAAGTTTGTTCTCATTTTAGTTTTGGTCCCTCAAAAGGCAAAATAGTTTAAGTTTTTATTAGATTATAGAGGCTAATATTATAAATAAATAAAAATTTGAGGAACCAAAACCTATGATTTGAAATTTAAGAGGCCAAAACTAAAATGAAGGCAAATTTAAGAGATCAAAGTTTGTATTAATCTTTCTTTTTTTTTTTGTGAAATAATTGAGAGAGGAGTATTGACACCACCCCTTCCTGCCTGGAATTTGTGATTCTTTCACATCAGCTGCTTGACGTTATAATTAAATTGGAATTTCTACATGAAGCACAAGTAGATCATCAGGCTGTTTGGGATTCTAGGTTCTTGTAAGTGTTGTCAACGGCGGGTGCCATGTCAGAATGATATGGCAATCTTGGAGCTTTCCTCTATAGAACTCCAAAGGCATGGCCATGACAGTCACCGTGATAACACTAGTTTTTACAAAAAAAGAAAAAAAAAAGGAGGTTTTTGCTTAAATCTTGTGATATAATATCTGCATATGAAATGGTTAGTGAAGAAAACCGGCATCTTTTTCTTGATGTTCTAAAGTGATTGCCTTCAACATCCATCTACTGCATATGTTAACCAACTCCCATCGGTGTTTTAATGACTCCAGATACCGCTAGAAGTGCAGATTAGAGAAGCTTGTGATGAGGGGGACCCCATAGTGCTGTCCGCCCCTGATTCTGCGGCATCTGAAGCTTATGGTGATGTTGCTCGAAAACTTGTTCAGAAACTCAAGGAACAACCAGCCAAACCTGAAATTGTACCATGAGGTGCTGGGCGCTCGCCTTGCATGTTATGAGTTTGCTGTTTAGATTTTATTGGAGGGATATTGAGGGATATGGACTAGAGTTGTCAAAACGGGCCAGCTTTTTAAACCTTTTTAAGTAAAGCGTCGGGTTTGTATTTTAAGAGGTTGAAAAGGAAATTGGGTTTAGAAGGGTTAGCTCTTTAGGGTTCAGAAATAAAAAGATCAGTCTTTTTAAATCCACCTATTTTTTTTTATTATCAAGATATTTATACAATTATGGATTAATTTTTTATGGATAAATTTGAAATAGAAAATTATTTAGAAGAACCGTTAGTGAATCCATATAATTGGAAACAATTAGATGTCTTGAATTGGTAGAAGGACAATTAAAATCAATTTCTAATTCTTTCAAGAATGACAGTTGATATTCTTAGTATTTCAATCACTATAGTAGCTACTAGCTAGTGAATCTTTATTTACTATTGGTTTACATATCTTAACAAAGTATTAAAATTCTCTTATTCTAACAAATGTTTAGACTTTCATTTGTACTCTTAACTACTACATAGCTTTACTTTAGATAAAGGTGATGAAAACAAAAGCCCTAATATTTTTATCATTGAAGAAGAGCCCATCTCTAGTGAAAAACAATCAAATGTTGTTGATCTTGATGATGGTGATAAAGATGAAGATAATAATTATGCTGATATTGTTAATATGTAGTTGCTTAGTTTTTATCTTTCTATTTTTCCTCTTTTATTTGGTTTTTTTTAGTTTGGATAATAATTCATTAGTATTTGTTATTTTTCTCTATACATCATTAGTTTATTTTACTTATATTATAATTGGAATAAAATTTTTTAGAAGTTTTATTGTGTTATTTTTTTATTTTTAAGATAATTGAAAAGAATTTAAATTTTAAAAAATAACATAAAAGACCGACTCTTTTAGGCCTCGACCCCATATGTCTAAGGGTCGGGTTTTAATAATATGATAATTTTAAAGTTTGCAGATTTTAAAGAGCTAGCTCTTTTAAATCCTGCCTTTTTTAGGTACGAGCTTTTCAAGAGTTAGCCTTTTAAGACCAAACTGGCCTTTATTGATAGTAGAGGTGGAAATCAGGGCCGGCCTTTTAAGGCTGGTGGGCTTAAAAGGGCCGGTCTTTCAATACTGAAATTTAAAAAATACCCTAATTTATTAGGCCCGGCCCTTAAGCTACAGGGGTTAGGGCCGGCCTAAGGGCTTTTGGCCCGTTTAAGGAAAAATGTTGTTTTTTATATTTTTTTATAAAAAAACAATAATAAACCAATGAAATTGTTAATAAAATACATAAATATGAATAAAATTAAGTCACAAATACAAAATATCATCATATATAAATATCCATCAATATCCAAGAACATCTAAAACATTCATTAATAAGATAACAACATCTAAAAATTTTATCTATAGTGTAATTGTGCAATAAATAAACTATCATTAATCTTTTGAAATTTCATCATCACTATAATTAATTGCTCTTCTTTATAAGTATGCTTTTCTTTCGTAACAAAAATATCAAGTTTTTTTTCTTTATAAGAATTTTACGTTTAAATTTTACAATCTAGCTATTATTTTATTTTAATGTGAGAAACATTATTGTTGAAACTCATGAATTTCTAATTCAAATTATAAAATCACAATGTATATAAATATAAAAATACTCTATTATCAAATATATATACATATAGTTTAAAAATATCAACGCATATAATATAAGTCAAATCATTATTAAAATCCAAATTAACCCATTTTTTAAAAATTTTATTGGATAAATTATTGTCTAAAACTAAATAAATCAAATCATTCTGTAAAATTTAATTTTAAAATGACAATAATAACTAAATGTTTGAAATATTATTAACAATGTAAAAAATTAATAATATTATAATTATATAAAAAATTTTAAAAAATAAATAAATAAAAGGGCCTAAACGGGCCGGCCTAACAGGCTCGACCTGTTTTCCCGGCTCTAATTGATAGCTCTAATATGGACAGTTTGTGCTGTTTACACGAGGGGATTCCACGGGTGCCACAAATAGGGTCAAATCTAGAATGTTTTAGATACGCTGCTCATCAGTGCTTAAGACTTAATTTAAGAGTTGATGTTAATTTTATATGTAAGACTTATTTCATATATTTATCAATTTTTTTCAAATTAACTATGTTAATATTCTCTTAAAAATAATCAAGAAGGAAAAGGAGCGAGTGAATTAAGAAAGATGATTAGAGTATTTACAAAAAAAAAATATTACATTAACTAATTTAACTAACATTATTAACCTACCCAAATTAATTAATTTGACCTTACACTAAACACCCCAGAGGAGTATTTAATATTTTTTCCATCCCTTTCATAAGATCTTATTAATAATTTTTTTACATTAAAAAATTAATTAAGATTTTGGGATTGTCTCCCAACTATGACGTGATATTATTTAGTTACTGAACTTGAAACTCAATTCTTACCCCCCCTTTTTTTTTATAAATTTTATCCTTATCAATCCAACTCATGACTAAGTCCTCTTATTAAGTGCCATTTCATCGTCTTCAGCCTCCCTCTGTGCAAGAATGCCCACCGTTTTTTTCAATGACAGTTTAATTTCCTTGAAAAAACAATCTAAAAATGACCAACTTGTTCTTCAATCAGGTCACCAAAAGCGTGTCGGTGCTGACATGAATCCTACTCTAACCTGGTCTCCACACCCTCCTAAATGCTTCCTCTTCATCTTTTCCACTATTGTTTCCTTCCTCCCCCCCCCCCCCCAAAAAAAACAGTTTTCTTTCTTTCTTCCTTTTCCTCATCCATTTTATAGCATCACCACATTCCTCGTCCCCTCCCTATTTGATTCCAAAATTCCCATCACAACTTCAGCTTCAGCTTCTTACTTTTCATTTGATCCCTGCGTGGGACCACGTCACATATATATGGTGTGTCATTCAGTATACATTGACACACGAGAGAGGGGAGTTCGTTGCTTGTGTCATTTATTCATGGTTTGCGTCGCTGGTGTCATATCAGCACTTTGTAAAAACGTTATCATGACATGCAGATTTTTCTTTTCATGTATTAAGTTGCAGGAGGGAGATTGAAGATGATATAGTGACTTGGCAGTTGTCATATCAGCACTTAACAAAGATGACTGAATTATGAGTTAAATAAGCGTCATTTTCTAAAAAATCAGAGACCATAAGGATTGAATTTTAACCAAATCAAAAATTCAGAAACTAAATCATTCCAAGCCATAGTTAAAAATTAAAGAATAAAAGGTTAATTTTTCCTAAAATTTTTGTAACTCTTCAAAAGCACCCTTCGACTAGTTCATCGGGAAGAATAAAGTCATCACTAACAAAACTAAGAAGTGTTTGGATTGCTCAAAAACTGCTTTTTAAAAACACATTTTCACAAATCAAAATAAACTCCCCTACATATTTATTTTATATACCATAAAAACACTTTTAATATCATAATTTTAATTCTACCCAATTACTCCTAAAAGAGGCAAGAACATTTTAAAATTAGTAAATGTTCCATTAAACATATTTTTCAGATGAGGGTCACTAAATCAACAGGTAAGATAAATATTTTATTCAATTTTGTAGAGAAAATATTTTAATTAAAAATCAACAGGTAAAATAACGAGGGAGTACATAATCAGGCTGGGATCACACGTTACATTCATCTAAACTGAATCGGATATCTGATATGGGTCACTAAATTTGGCTCGCTCACGTTGGAATTTTGCTTGACATATCGGATGGCCTACTGTGCAGAATGGAGGTTCTTCAATGGTACTCTTCCAACATTTACGGAAGGGAAATCAGACTACACGCAGCACACTAGCACTTCAATGTTTTCCTCCCCTGATTCCTCAATACGCCCGTCATTCCCAACTCTACGCTCCAAAATCCCAAACAAAAACGACCTCACAACAACACGGGTGTTTTAACCAGGAAAAGCTCATTAAGAATTACCAAATTAAAACCCCACTAAATAATCTCATCTTCTGAATCCTACGCAGTGTCATTTACCATGCATGGATACAACATAAACCTATGGGGTATATGACAGAATCCCAAGTTTAATTAGATACCCCACTCGACAGTTAAAAACTCAACGGTGTTTACCAAAACAGAAGCGTCCCCTCAATTACAATTTAATGCAACATTCTCAATATCCATAATTGGTGCCGTATACCGGCCCATAATCAGCGGCCGGAGCATGCCCTGTATGGGCCCCAGCACTTGAGGGTGGGGATGCATAAACAGGAGCATTTGCGGGATACGAATTGTAGCCTTGCCCAACTGATCCCCCCATTTGATCTTGTGCTGTGCTTGCAGCTTCAGCCATGAAGTTCTGTACATTAAAATAAATAAATAAATAAAAGATTGCAAATGATTTCATATCCGCAATGTGCTGAACCAACACAAACATAATGCAACAGACGGCATTGAAATTGAAATAAGATGATACAAGCCATCTGCTGCTGTACTGTGCCTGCATATCCAAGCAACTACCAGCTATCCCGTACTTTCTTTTCCCAGATACGATTACAATACTTCATAAGATGTGTATGTACGTACTACTAGCGTACCCAAGATGCGTATTATTAGAACAGCATTAGCTCGCATCAGAATGTTAGTCACAATCACAGTAGACACAGACAGTATCTGTTTAGACTAATCCTAAACTGTTAACCCCAGTATCAGACTCAACACGCCACAAAATGTTTGCATCAGAATGTTAGTCAAAATCACAGCAGACACAGACAGTATCTGTTTAGACTAATCCTATACTGTTAACCCCAGTATCAGACTCCACACACCACAAAATGCCAAGAACAATATTTGATCGAAACAGACAGAACACCAATCCCTATATGCTGTTTATATGCTGTTATTTACAGAAAAGAGCAGCAGGAAACAAGCAGAATGAGATGATTTTCCTTGAAAATAATCAAATACCTGCACCAGCTGTTGGGCAGTCTGTATTTGCGAAGCAGTCCCGCTTATTTCAACAGTCATCTCCCCTGGCACACCCCTTGTCTCCTGAATTGTAATACTTGCTCCACTAGCACGACGAATATAGCTGATATTTGCACCTGATGTTCCAATAACTGCATCTGCATAGGACAGAGGAATTTGCATATGCTGTGTAACCTACAAGGCAGAAAGGGAAAAATACATTAAGTCAAGACAAAGCAAACGTGTTTCAGAATTAATAATGTTACACTGTAAACTTCTTAGTTATAGATAATAAAAAACCTTAGTCACAACAGATTGTTGTGGCTGCGCACCCGACACCATAGAAGCATCCCTTCCATAAGCAGGTGGTCCCTGATGAAGGTGCTTGTCCATAGGAGGCAGATCAGCAGGTGGGTAATAGTTATCGTAGTGATGTGAATGTGGCATATATTGAGGGTTAGGAGCAAATGGAGGTCCACCAGCTGCAGGAGCTGGAAATCCTTGAGGAGGAGGACCCCATGGCTGGTGTGGTGGCACATTCTGGTTGGCTCGGACATCCGGCGATTGCATCTGAAAATGAAGACAAACAATTGCACAGAGTGAATACAGCATCCCCAAAAAAAGCCCGACATAGCTTCACCTCAGATAAAAATAGATAAATCCAATAAAAAGTACAAATTATAGAGAAGCCTTGATATCCTTCCCGAATGTTAATCTATATTGATAGCCCAATTAATTGATAGCTTAACCTATCCAGTTCTCGTTTCCAATTCTGTTCTCAACAGAGAGTAAGCATGGAATAAATAAGCACCTAAAATATGATTCCAAAATTCAAACACCAAGCCAGGCTTCTGAACGTGAACATATTTTCAAATGTCAGCTTACAAAAACAAAAGCATGCATCAATTACATAGGTTATAACCCCTTGTAACATAAGCCTGATCAGACTTTTCACTAGCAAATTTGTAAACGAAGATATGTGGGAGGCCAATCGTTGAGTGACATAAAGTCCAGCATGCATATATTGGTCAGTTTTCAGCGGTTAGAATCAGTCCTCCTTTATCAGCATGCGTATGAAAGGTATTCAATTCCTCCTCTCTCCTAAGTACTAGGCAGGGGAAAAGGAGGAATCCATCATTTTCTAGAGCTATCACCTTCTATGTTGTTCTGTTCGAAGAAAATATTCATGTAAGTAACACTAGGCCAACAAATAGATCTGAGCTATTAATTGCATTGAAATTATCTTCACTGTGACCACACAAGACCACTCAATAGAAAGGGTCTCCAAACTAGTGTGCGATCAGAGTTTTATGTAATCTCTAGTTTCAGCTTAATCAAAGCCAAGTATAACTCATTAGCAACAGGGAAAAAAAAAAAAAAAAAAGGAGAGAAACCAAGTATAACTTAATAATAAGAAATTGGTATGTGATTAAGATGCATTAAAACATGCATTTGATAAGCCACAAATGCTTAAATCAGAATAATGACTTCCAGAAGTTATGAACTGGGCAATTTAACTTGCCCACAAAAATTTCTAATATGCCCATTCACACGTTATATTGACTTCAGCTCCAAAAATAACACTTGCCTGTGTTTCAAATACTCCAACTATGCTTCGGTCTACCAAGAACTTTCGTAGATGAGTTGCAATGAGTTCAACTGCTTTGTGAACTCCAGCAGATTCACCTTGTATTTCAACAACACTATCATCTCGCAGAGCAAAAACTGGCAGGTGCTCTGTTGCAAATCAAACATCTTTCAGGTAAAGTGATAACAAATATTTTAGAATTGTAAAAGTTTTCCTTAAATATTCATGATGCACAAAAGGACATCCTAAATCATGCCTCAAGTACATTTATACATTACCAAAAGCAGAATTAACAATTGAATTATTCACAAGAACCACATATCCAACTTTCAAGTGCCTAACAAGAATAGCAACATGAAAAATTTGCAAATGGAAGCCTAACAATATTGCACACAATCACAAGGATTGAATGACAGAGTTTAAATGATAAGCCTAAAAAGCCCCATGAAAAGAAACTACCAAGAAGACATATTGCCAAATTAAGCATTGTTTCTTTGTACAGTAGATAATGCATGTAAGCACACCTGATCCAAGGACTCGTATGGTACAACCAGATGTATCTTGAATGGATTTTATAGTAGACCCCTGCTTCCCAATCAAGCTTCCTGCTTGAGTATCAGCGACAAGAAGCCTTGTAACAACTGAGCGCCCAGCAACAGATGCGCTATCTGCAGGATCACGGTCAACATTGACAATTTGTTTATGAACCCTTAACAAGCCATCCACAGCGGGTGGTATGGTACGATCTGGCTCTTCTTTTGCAGATACCATTACCTTTTAAAAGCATCAAAGAGACTATTAAGAAACACTGCATCCAGTGGATAATTTTAAAATACCAAAAAAAAAAAAAAGATCTGCTTTCAAACTATCTATCATACTTACTAAATCTATTTCACTCATCAATTATTTCATTTGAACATCACAAGAACGTAATTGTTTATCGAAGTTATAACACTTGAATCAATTTTTTTTTTTATAACTTTAGCTTTATTCCCAATTCTTTGGACCCATGAATCTGCTTGCTCAATTTGTTAGCAATAATTTGTACTCAGACAGACATAAGAGGTCTAGATGATCCAAATGTTAGATTTCATTAGTAATCCTACATCTTCAAAGAGTAATTTGATATTCCAAGGGATCGCTCTTGTGATTCAGTGAATCTAAATGTATTCCAAGTTTATATAATTTATTGGCACATTCTAATGCATCCATCCGAAAGTTTCCGCTTAATATACGTTAATCAGATTTCAGTTGGCTTCTCTTTTGTGTCCTCCCTTTGTTGTTGTTTCACCATTTCAATGATGTTAAGAGTTGTTTCTAGGGAATATTTTCAGGGAGCGTGGCAAGACACCAGTCGACCAAGTTCTGAAGTTACCAGGTATAAGTGAAAGCCTGTTGCTACCAAAATCTGCACAAACTATTCTGAATGTTTAACACAAAAACAACGTTTCAGCACTTGTATATGCTCATTGCTGTTTCCCTGCAACTTCAACTTTGGCACTTCAGTTTGAAGCCACTTTGGTCATTCATATTTGCTGACCACCTGCACACATCGATTTTGGTCATCGGGACAAAAGACATCTCTTTTTATAAATATTAGCCTGTTATGATATTTATCATTTCTTGTGTTATGCTTGATTATTTTATGGTTTCACTTCCTCAACAACTGTTGGTTTTTAAGTAAAATTCTTTGATAACAATATTAATATATGTGTGAACGTTTTATCACAAATAAATCAGAACCCCTTAAGTTTCACTTTCAAATGAGTTATATGACGTTTATTTGACCAAGTTTTCCATATTGAAGTGAAGCACGCACTTCCCCAAATATAGCTTGACAAGACCTAGTTATATTCCCACTCTGGCACTATCATGAATAACACACACAACATATAAAATTCCAAACCATGCAATACCAAGAGTTTCACCACTAAGATCAGTTTTACAGCACATAATTGCACATAATTAAAAAGCAAAATGAAAGAAAGGGAACGACGTAAGTGATAGGGAAAAATGATTAAGGCATGATTGCACCAAAAATAGAACACCAGAAACAAGTCTTATCCCACTAAGTAAGGTGAGCTACATGAATCACACAACACCATTGAGCTCTATCAACAACTAATTCTTTAGACATATCATTCACGCCAAAAATAAAGCACCGGATACAACCAAGTTCTGAAACAGATATATCATAAGACTTTCTAAAAATCCACAGGCATCAACATACACAACGCACACATTTGGCATCAACGGGAAATACATGCAAATTTATTCCTCACAAGATAAAAGTAGAGAGGGCAAACTGTTGACTCACAGCTCTTTCTGAGGTTCCAGGGGGACCATCAAGTATTTTAATACGAGCTTTTGTCTCTTCAGTAATTTTCTTAATAAATTCCCCCTTGCGGCCAATAATGCTGCCAACCTTCTGAACGGGAACCAGCATTCTAAATACATTTTCTCCTGGCCACCCTGGCCACCGTTTTATTTCCGTTCCTTTTGAATCTAAGTCGTGTTCCTGCTTCTGAGAATCAAAACTCTCAGGCATATCTCCTGCTTCATGATGTTCTAGAATATGCTTTTGTGGAGATTCAGAACTTTTGGGCAAATCTCCAGCATCAATTCCATCCAAATGATTTTCTGGAGGATTGTATTCCTCAACTACATTGCCTGCATCATGTTCTACAGACTCTTGTTCAGCAAACCCGGTATTATCAATCCCTCCTGTATCATGGTCATCAGAATGATTTTGTGGAAAATTGGGGCTCTCAGGCACATAGCCCGCATCCTGTCCGTCAAAGCCTTCCCCAGACATTCCAACTATAATTGCTGTCAATTCAGTAATGTAAAACAAATGGTTAGTACAAAATAAATTTAAGCAGAAAATAATAACAACAAAGAACTTGAAGAATGTTAGGATAATTGCTTATTCAACTCTTCGTGATGATGATGAATAGCAAACAAATTCGTTCGACATTTCTAAGAACCCAAATTTTCACAAGTTTACAATGAATTCAAAACCGTGACGAGTAAAATGACTAAAATAATTGTTGACACTTAAAATTACAAACCCCAGCATCTCCCTCTTCAATCTTACAGAAGAGACCGCCCGGCCTCGACCAAAGGAAGAGGAAATAAATAAATAAAAAATAGAACCCAACATTCATCCAAGAAGAGCACCGGAGTTCTTCGTTTGATTTAATGAGAAACCAAACACAGTGAAGCAAAATAAAAGCATTAAACCTAAAATTCTCGCCGCAATTTTGCAAACTGCGAATGAATGCAACTCCGAATAGTGGCTCACAATGACCCCAAATCTTGATTCGCGAAAAAAAAGAAGTAAGCGATTTGGGGGGGGGGGGGTTCGAACACGAAAGATGCCCATAAAAACCACATATGTAGGAGAAAGTAGAAACCCTAGAATGAACTCAAATCAAATAAAATTTACATGAATAGAAAGAAAGAAGATAGAGAATGAATGTACAGGCCAGGGCGATTAAGTATTGAGTGTAGCTGCTTTTCAAACTCACCGGGATTCGACTTCGGTGCGAGTAGGGTTAAATGGAGTTTGGATAGGGAGGCAGAATTAGGTTTTGTAAGAACGAAAGCGCACTATGTATGTTATCTGCGTTCCGCATAAACATGTACACATGTATATAACTGTAAAAGCTTTTAAATATCGTTGGCCAAAAAAAAAATTATATATCTTTGAATATCTAATAATTTAAATAGTATTATCTATATACCACCTCCGATTCTTAATATAATATCTCGTTTGATTTTTAGTTTGGTTCTAAATATAAAACCTCAATCTACTCTTTTCTCATCTTTATGTATTTTTTTCAAAGTAATCCTTCTAATAATAATAATCCTAGCCAATACATTTGATTAAGAAAGATATTTTAAGAAAGACAACACATATTTATTACAAATAACCAATTTATCTTATTTTTTTTAATCTCTTCAAATTAGTCAACTAGTTCTTATAATTAAAACCGGAGCTTGTATTTCATACACAATTTACAAGTTGATAAATCCTCCAAAAATTTACAACACTTAAAATAATGTGTCTATAATTTATAATTTACAGGTGAATTTACATTAGTCGTAAATTTCTAAAGAATTGCTTATAAATTCTGGAAGAAAAATTATAATTCATCGTACCATTTTAATTTAAAGTTAATACAAATTTTGGTTTCTCAAGTTTATTTTTATTTTAGTTTTGGTTCCTTAAATTTTTTTCATTTAAAATATTGGTCATTATAACCTAATAAAAACGCGGACCATTTTGCTTCTAGAAGGACCGGAACCTATAGATTAAAATTTAAGGGATCAAAAATTATATTAACCCTTTCATTTATATCTCGACTGGGGTAAAAAAAAATACACTTATTTATGAAAATCTCAATACACAGGTTGAGATGTGAATATCTGAAGGAGGAAATTTATAATTTATTACACTAATTTTATTTACAACTTATAAGATACATTCAAATATAAATTTTTAACACACCAGTGAGCTGTAATTTTTAATAGGAAGCTTATAAATTTTGAAAAAAATATTTATAAATTATCATACATTAATTTGTAAATAATAAAAACATTATCTAAGTTGTAAGTTTCTGGAAGATTTAAATGGCAAAAAAAAAAAAAAGTTCGTGGAAGATTTATAAATTTCAAAAGTTCACTTATAAGTACGTCTGAAGATTTGTAAATAACATTAAAACTTAAGTTATTAAAAAGTAAAATATTAATATTTTAATAAGATACTACATCCCGGTCTTTATGTATGAGAATTAATTTGACATTTAATTTGATTTTAAACATAAGACCCTAATCCTTTTTTTTTTTTAAGTATTCCTTGTAATAGTTATATATATTAAAGATTCTATCAAACAATAATTTTAACTAATGTGCATGATTAGTAAAGGTAATCTAGAAAAGACAACACATATTTATTACAAATAACTAACTTAACAAAATTTCTTAATATGTTCAAATTAGTCAATTAGCTCTTATATTAATGACTGAACGTAGTATTATTAAACAAAAAAAATATTTTTAACTAATTATCGATATTATCATTAGTGAAGTGGTTGGTCACGCTGTAACCTTTCAAGATTGTTGGTTAAAGTGGCATTTTAATCGTTTTTATGGATAAGAAATAATGTTAGTCTATTGGCATATATTTGTAATCTTTCAAACTTAGAAAGTATTTTTTTCGTAATACGACGCAAACTCCTCTATATATTATAAAAACATTTTTAAAATTATGATTTGGTTTCAATCTAAACACCTTTTTAATTGATTCTATTTCCGGTTCTAAACATAAGATTTACTTTGTACAATTATATTGCAATTTATATTACAAGATAGGTCTTATATTTACAACCAGATATAATGTTAATTTTTTATAAGTTCATTAATTGAAACTTATTCATCAAATTATCTTCCACTTTGCTACATGAAATTTCATATACTCGTCAAATTAAACACAAATCTATCTGCATTTTTTTTTTTTGTGAACTGAACGCATATCTATCTGCATGAACAATATGGTAACATATTTTTTTTGGTTATGGAATCAGGAATATCTTCCATCAACAGAGGGAGAGAGACTACTTTTTCTAGGGATATATACAGAGGGCAAAATGTCACTCATAGTGACTCGAGTTAATATCATGATTGTATTTTTTTTTTATTTGTTTTAATATCTACCCAGCTTCTTATATCAAATTATTTTATCTAAACATACAAATCGTGAAATATGGCGTGAAATTTGCTTATCACAATTTTCAGGGAAAAAAACAGTTATTACCTTTACTATTCTACTTTCAATTCCCAATCATACTCTCCTATTACTGTGACAACTAAATAAGAGCTGGGGGCAATATCTGCAAAATTTTGGGTGATATTTACTAAAGTCATATTTCACACACGGCGGACTGCACATAACATTCTCAACAGTAAAGAGCATGGATAGGTAAAAAAAAAAAAAAACCTAATTCATAACTTTGAAGAGAAGCCCAGGCCAGGTATGGGAAATGTTATTTTTAGAGTGGTTTTCCAGGATGTTGAAACAAGCCATGTTGATCGTATAAATGTTGGCCTTTCCGTTGTTATGCCCATTAATCTAATTTGTTATCATGCTGTTTCTAGTAGTTGTTATTGGAATATTTTTAAAATGAAGAGATGTGTTTTTGAAAAATCATGTTCTTATATAAATTTATTAGATTAATAAATTTATATGAGGGGTTATATTTTCATATAAATTAATAAATTTATTTGAAGAGTTGTGTTTTCACATAAATTAATATATTTATATGAAGGGTTATATAAGAAGTTAAAATATTAAATAACCCTACATATTAAATACATTGTATTTAACAAAAAGTCATGTAAGAAGTTAAAACATTAAATAAACCTACATACCAAATTCATTGTATTTATTTAAATTATATTGGTTCATGAACCAACATATAGTTGTGACTTTTTATTTAATAAGGTTTTATTTCAAAATGTGTCTCTTCAAAACATCATTTCATGGTGTATATAAATCCTTCACCTTCACTTCATCTGGGAAATATACAGCACAACACAACACAAACACTAAAATCAAACTTATTGTTTTGGTTTTTGAGTACACGCAGATATAGAATTAAATTATCACTTTATAAAAGTTATTGTTGTCTTTGCTTGAATTTGAAAGTGTAATCCATATACAAGGGTCTTTATTGTCCCCTGAAAGAAATTTGCCAGTCAACTCAACTTGCACCCTAAAAGATGAAAATAGATAAGGGGCAAATTAAACCTAAAGGAAAGTATTGTACACACCTTGAACACATTACGTACCACTTTCTTCTTCATCTTTTCTTCTTGTACTTCTCAGAGAAACATTCCCGCCAACAGTTGTTATCGTTATTAGTTATGTTACTGATACTACTACTAAAACCACTTTTATTGTTGAGCACCTATGATTATAGGGATATTTAGATGAAAACCAAATTATGATTTTAAAAGTTTTTTTACTATTTATAAAATAAATATGTGAAAAATTTATCTCGTTTTACAGAAAATAATTCTTAGAAACACTTTTAAAGGTTGCCAAACACTCCCGCTTCGTTGCAAGACAAAAGAATGGAGGGCCTGTTACAGAGAATCCAGACCTCATGCATAATTGAAGGAAGCAAGTGTTCCTTTGAGCAATCCAACAAAATTCCATGTCAATTGCCAAATACACCGTCGAATATTGCTGCTGCGAATGTAATTGCTGAGGAGACAACAGGATTCAAGAATCACGATCCACGTATGTTCTTCCTTCGCCTACAACCTTTCTCTTGCTCTCTCACTCCAGCTGCTTGATAAAAGTTCAAATAGAAATCATAAGTTAGTTATGCAACAGAATGCATCAGAAGAGCAAAAGCTTGAAGTTTCCCTAACAAAACATGGATTTTTCCGAGGTTTGATCCAAAATGTCAAATTGCAGGGTTTCCCAACACCGTCCTCGACAAGATCATTTGAAATTATCCACAAACAAGAGTCAACATCAAGCTGATCAAACTGCCTCCTTTCAGTCAAATATCCCAGCTAGAAGCTGTCTGCTTGTTCTTCGGTCGGTGAGGCAGAGACTTCGTGCTCTTGTATTCTGTTATGTCTAATCATCTGTTAAAGAACACTTTTGGGTAATTAATAAACTTTTGCTATTGAATTATTTCCAATCATTTTTGTGCGCAGATCTTCTTGGATTAGTGGAATGCAGCCGGTGTGTATCCCTCCTGAACTATTTAAGTCTAATTTGAACTCCCAAATATTTAAAAGAAAAAAGGGCATCATCTTCCGCGCAAAACATGTTGAAATCAACCCCCCCCCCAAAAAAAAAAAGGCCTGGGAAGATTCCAGTGATTTAAAACACCATACTCAATATATGTACAGCAAGCACAAGTGGTAATCCTTGAGCTCTCCCAATATTTTTTTTGTCTGTAAAAGGTCTCCAATTACATAACTGGTGCTAAAAGCACCAACCTTTCGGAAAAATGGGAGAAAATGCACCCAGTTAAAAACACAATTTGTGCATGCAAAACCCTATAAAAACTTATTGCAGCATGGCCAAAAAATTGAAGGAACCTTACAGTCGAGGTTCAGATTGATCATGCATTAGCAATAGCCTGTAAGATCTGCCTAGAAGGTAACAACACAAGTATATTAACTGTTCCTTGTACTAGTGCACAAGCAAGAAAACATGAGGGTAGACCCTCTGAAATGGTTGAAAAGAGGAAAATTCTAGTCTGACGGTGCTATTAAAGAAGCTCTGAACCTGTAAGATACTAAATAACGGCCTGAACATGTCTAAAATAAAAGCCATCTATTTACCCATAAAAGTTTGAATGTTAAAAGACAATC